ACACACACACACACACACACACACACACACACACACACACACACACAATGACTTGTTATGTATCACGACAGGTGAACTCGATGGCGTGATTGCATGTAACAGATAGAGATGCACATGCTTACTGTCGAGGCTGGATTGCAGTTATACAACACACTACTGAACACTGTCATCCCTCTCAGGACCCGAGGGATTGCATAAGCAGCCATCTGAATATAGAATGACAGACAGTAATGAGTGTTGGGCTTGGATGGAGTTGGTCCAGACACAAAACGTGAGCCCAATGACCCTCTTGTTTACATTTTAACCAGTAACAGTAGGTTTTGAGCATGTTATCTTTACACACCAACATCTAGGCCATTTCTAATCTTATTATAGAAAACTCACACAAACAAAGGTATTGATTGTTGGAAGAAAATCAGTTCTACTTCATCATGAGCTTCATCTGTGCCAGACTGATCATGAAATGTCATTGCAGGTCTCAGCACATAAAGTCAAAGAGTCCGATATTATTATCCAAGATATGTGGATTGATAAGAAGCCCTAGAAAATGAGGGATGACAAAGAGGAACTTGTTCATCAAACACAGCTCGTGGAAATGTAGGGTTTAAGAAAGAAAAGCTGATGAAAGTACACTAGATGAGTAAAGTCACGGCCCCAACAAAACAATGTCACACGACTGACAAGTGACCCCTCGTTTAGAGCAATGCTATGGCTTGTGCAGGAGGCAGCCAGGCTGTGGTCAGCTGGGAGGCTGTGTTTTAAAGCCATACACTGGTATAGATTTATGACGCTTGAGGTTTTTGGAAATGTAGAAAATGTATAAATGCCCATGTACAAAAACAGAACAATTTAAACTTCAGTTTTTATGAAAGAAGTTGATACTCGTGGAGCTCTCATTTTTTTAAAGTTTTACTTCTACCCTTTGAGGATGAGTTTTTTTTCCTTTGCAATCAAAAGCTGAAGTTAGACTTGTTGCATTGCTGGTAAATCTAATCAGACAAGCATTTTGAAGATGTTAAAAACCCTTTTGTTCAGATTTTTTCAGTTGGCTTTGCCTCTTGCTGGTTTGGTCACTAAGCTCAGCCACCAACCAAACACTTTAGGTAAAACGGCCTGTCTGATCTTAGCTTTCATAGATTAAGCCGTTTTCAGATGTGAACTCCAGGGTTTTGGACGTTCTCTGGAGTTTGCCTTTCACGCATGAACAATCCAGTGGGAGGTTCTCTGGGTCAGACACGTTCATAACAACAGGAACATTACCAGAACATTAATGAAAGGAGTGCCACCTGGTTAGAGCGTGCAGGAAGCAGGATATAATGTATATATTCCACTGCAGAAATCACATGTTCTTGTGGATTCTTATCTGCAAAAACTTGATTCTCGTCATCCTTCAAAGTCAACGTCATCTTCGGCATCCTCTACATGCACGGCACCTCTTTTTCATCCTGAGATATTTGTATTCTTTTGTTGTTGTTGTTTCTTCTCACTTTCACCTCTGCCGTGCGTTGGAAACATCATTAATATGCCCACTCACTTGCACTGAATTCTCTGGACATTATCCTGTTGTATTTTTACCTTTGAGAATATCACTTACATGCTGACTAAGCTTTTTCAAATGGAACTGAAAGGCACCACAGACCTTCACAGTGCACTTTGTAGATATTTAAAGATTCTTTGTTGATGTTTTGCAGCTTTACAGGAGCCTTAATCATGACATAAAATAGTGTATAGGATGAATATTTCATCACCCTGATTTCCTCTCTTATAGGTCACGGAAAGAACCACAAAGACGCAGCATCAGTGCGAGCCACACACCCAATCCCTGCTGCCTGTGGGATCTACTACTTTGAAGTCAAGATTGTCAGCAAAGGTCGAGATGGGTAAGCAAACAGAACTCTAGACTAGCTGCAGTGCTTGTGTTGTATGTGATTCTAGCCTTGGTTTAAACAGTTACTATTTCACTCATAACATTGTCACTGTGCCCAAACAACATCAGCGTCCAGTTTTCCTGCTATTAGCTCTCCTTTCCTGGTACGATGTGAGTCATGTTCAGGTCCATAGATTATTGTATTCTATAGTTTTCTGAGGAAATTATCAACTTGTTAACGAACTGATTTCACGGGCGGTTATAACATACATGTAAATGTGCATGGTAGCAGTTAACTTCTAAGAGTTGTCGTAATACGACTTTGACTATAACGTAAATTGTCCAACTGAGTCTGACTCACAAAGGCATGTGTATTGGCGGGACCTAGATACATTCAGTGCTCCATGATTGAACCAATCCAGATTGTACATTGAAGCGATTCCTTTACTGCAGTACTGATTTACCTGTGTTTTTTTTGTGTTTTGTATTTATTATATTTTCTAAGGAGTTTATGGACAGTGGTCCAGACTGCTGTTGCCCAATGTCACCAACCTGTGGTCTCGAAAAGGGAAATGTGAACAGTGTTGAAAATGAATATGGTTACAGTTTGGTTATAGTTTGTCCCTTTCTAATAAAACCACATAGTACAAGTAAGCCACATTTCTACGCCTTAGCTCAACCACCTTCTGGGATTGATTTCTTTATCAGTACCAGTGGCACTGACATTACTTTGCCAGGTGTTTGGAGTCTTTGCTTTTCAACCTTGCTTTTTGACCTGTTCTTTTGTATTGGAACCAAAACTCTCCTCCATCCTCCTCCCAATAAAAGTGTCAGGTAACATAATTCACCATTAACACTCCCTAGTTCTAGTTGAGCAGCTCAGTGTTAATAGAAAAAAACAGTGTGTGTAAAAGGCATTTACAGTGAGGGAGTATCTGTGTTACTCCATAACTGTAAATAGAAAGTCCTTCAAATCAACTGAGCCGCTTCAGTTTAAACACCAGACAGTGGTGCAAATATATACAGTATAAAAGCCATGTGTTTCAATGGACCAGCAGTTGAACTTGAAAAATGTATATTTAAGTTTTAATATATAATACCTACATACAGTGGATTACAAATGCTGCACAATTGCCTTTCCTTTCTTTCCTATGGTGCCGATAGAAGCAGTGTGTTAGGAAATGCCACCATGACATTCCACTATAACATGAACTGTATGTGTATTTCTGTGTTGTGCTGCTGGACAACTAAAACTCAAAATAGGGTCAATGTGATACAGATTTTTTTTTAAAAAAAACACTTTGTTTAAATCTTTCTGAAAAAGACAAAACTGTTTTTTGGACATATTTGTGGAAAACCTAGTCTGTGTTTCAAATGACTGTTTGGTCTCTTTAAATGATCCAACATTTGTGAAGACCCCTCATGCTGTCAAGTCTAGTTAGTGGATGACTACGCTAACAAGCCACAACTTGGAACGTGAAAGCTAGTTAGAATTGCTTGGTAACATTAGCACCTATTGTCTGTATGTATTATGTTCTCTGAGGGTACTTAAACACAGTATACGTACCATTGTCACGCCTCTGCACACTCACGGTGCTTGTTACACACAACAGAAAATACAACAGAAAATAAAATGAATAAAAAGTCTGGTAAGGTTACACAAAGAAGGGAATGCTTTAAATAGATGACACAAATTTCTTAATTTATAGCAATTACTATTTTAAACATAACAAATTAAGCTATTTTCTATAATTCATATTTAATTTGTTTCAACTGCAAAACAGATGTAAATAAAGCATCTTAATGCAATACCTATAGTTGATATGGATCCAAAACAAGTCTGTCTGTTGCCACCTCTTAGAACTGATACTTGTGCCAGACATGTTGAGTTTCAATGTATTGTACAATACAGAGTTATGGAGTCCGTATTCCCCATGTGAATAGCCATCTTATATTCAAATTTTATTGCTTTGAAAGTTCTTTTAGTTAGACTAGCATGGCCCATGCCACAGGGACGAATCAGTATGTAAATTACATTAGCGGAATGACATTGTAACTGTGTATAGAAAAGAAACTTGCAACTGTAAGCGGGCGAGGAAAAAAAATGCCATTGCTATTATTATCACATTGTGCACGTCAGCCACTTTGGTAGGTGCCTTAAAGCAAAAGCCAGGATTATGAGTCAGTTCTGTCCAATGAGCATCCCAGTGTACCTTGTAATCAGTTTGTCAGCCATCTACCTAACTACCCACCAACCAACAAACCAATCAAGCAACTAATCACTCAATCAATGAGTCAACTAATCAATCAGAGCAGGAATCTCTGTTTTTCTGTTGCTTGAACATTGGTTCTACCTCTTTTATCACTTGGGTAACCTCTATCAGAAAAACACCTGTAGCCATAGTGGTGGTGCCAGGGATGGTTGTAAGGGTGGGCTTGGCTCTCCACTACGGCGCAGAATCAGAACTCAAGACATCTTCCATTCCATAGCCTCAACTGCTGTAACACCACTGTCCTTCCTTCCTCTATTTACCAATTGATGAAAAAGCAGGGAGCTTGCAAATAATCCAACCCTGACCATAAATTTACAGCTTGTCTTTGAGCAATGACAGAGAACTGAGTCTACGCCAGACAGGTTCAACTGACAATGTCAATATTTCAATTGAGCAAATGGCTTCTTCTTTTCCTGTTGCTTTCTCAAGCTTGCGTATATGAAAAGGATGCGGGCAGAAGAGCGATCCTGGTGTGAAAGACCTAGCTTCAACTCTCACTGTCACTTTTAATATTTAAACTCCCCTATACATTCCACTCTGCTGTAACTAGTTGTCTAAATTAGGATATGGAAGGAGATCAGAGAGTTACCTCTATGCAACCTGCATCAAACGTTGATCTAGAATTTTATCTGAGTGTTCTTTTAAAGTGACCATGAGGAGAGCACCAAAACATCTAAATTACTTTTAGAACCTGAAGGAGCTGATACCCTTAGCGTTTGCAGATATTTTAAATTGTCGGTCTCAGTAATGTGTCAGTTTTTCTTCCTGTGTTTTCAGATACATGGGCATTGGCCTGTCCGCCCAGGGAGTCAACATGAACAGACTGCCCGGTGAGTAACATGTGAATGATATTTCCATAACATACAGAAAAGGATAGGTAACCATTAGTTTGATTGATCAATACAGATATTAATTTAAGGATGTTAGAATTGATGCAAAGATGATGGAACAAGAGTCAATGGTTGGAGCAATCAGTGAGATTGGGTGAAAAATAAGGATGCCCAAGGTCAGTCAACATAAACACAGAGTGTATGGTGAGTTCTTCATTACGCCAACATCCAGCAATAACATCAGCTTGCTGGTGTGGAGCCAGAATTTCAGCCACTTAGCACAACAGACCAGTGCTTTGGCAAGCTGAGGCGAAAAATGTCCTGCAGCGCTCTCTTCTTTTGTTCAACTTTGGTTTCACACAGGAAAGTCTGCACACTACAATTACGCACATCTGAAAGGGGTGGCCAAAACCATGAGCCTAAACATTTCTAGTTACTTATAGGGCAACATGTTTAGCCCTCTGACCCCATTGGGTCAGATTACAATCAACCATTGACATTGCTGTGAATGTGTTAGGGTTAGGGTTAACATCACAGACTATGGACGGTTCCTATCAACAATATAAGCACTGGAAAGTGGTGGCAAAATATCTGTGATTCATAGTTTTCATTCAGGTTGTGTATATACTTTGGAGCTGGAGTAACAGGAGTGATGACGTGATAATAGCTTGGTATCAATATGTACAGATTATGTAGAGACAAGATATGAAGGTAGATTTGACAATTGAAAAAAGAGAAATGGATTGCGTGGATATTAAGAGTAGCTGGCAATGTGCCAACATTTATGAGATTTGAGGAGGAAAGTGGAACATGATGATGGCGTGTGGCACCGCTGGGTTTGGTTTGTGTGTTTGGGCTGAGCTGTCTGACGCTGCAGAAAGAAGACATGTCAGGACATGTCACTGAGCAGTCATGGATCAGTGACCGATGATGTTGACCTCAGGATGATCTGGTTTAAGACCAACTTTGCTTCTCACTCTTCACTGATAGATTCCTCATTAGTTTACATGGAAAATATTTTATTTTTGGTTACAGGACTTTTGGGGAATATAATATACATGTATAATATTCCCCTACTTATCTAAAGCTGTTGTTACACCAATTCACCTCACAAAAACAGCCATTTAGTGAAAGTGATCACTCATTTATTTATTCATTAGAAATTACTAAATCAGTATATCTACATTTATTCTCACATGAAGCAACCATAACATTTACTGGATTATTTGTCGGTAAAACATAATTAAGTAAGCACAAACCAGCATTAAACATATTTTGGTTTTAAAAGAGAGGCCAGAAACTTATTATTTCACTTGTACAGAAAATTATGGACTAAGTCAGCACATAAAAGGCCAAGATATCTTTTCAAGACCTTTCTAAATTCTCTCGGGATAAATGTGCCTAGTGTGGTTTTCTTGTAAACCCAGAAACTGTGTTTGTGTTAATTATTACTGTTTGACCTTGAGATCTGATATCAATTCATTAAATTATAATTATGATATTTAATTGAATTGTACATTTTAAACACTTGTTCAGCAGTTGTCTTTTATCCTGCTTTTGGTGGATCGCTATGTGTTTTACCTTGTGACTAACTGTCCATCGGCAGAATAACATGTAACCAGCATATGTGCTTAAGTGCTGTGTCCATTGCCCCTCAACAGGCTTCCAGATGTTTGGCCAGTTAGACGAGACTGTGCCGTTTAAGTGACCTGAGTTTATATTCCCTGTTTCTATCAGAGACTCAGTTGAGGGGTCACATAACAGACAGCATAACAGTTTGAGATAATTAAGGACTTTATACCTCTGTCACATATTCTACCAATACTGGCAAAGACTCCTCCATTTCAATCGTCATGGCTGCTCCATTCATCTCTAGCAGACATTTTCTTATGTATAAAACTGTTTTGATAGGCTAGTTGTAGTTATGATGAGTAAACTGACTTTAATGTGTGAAGTTGTGGCGATTTTTGTATTTTTTGAGAAATCTAGCTTTAAACAGTAAATGTAGGGATAAATATAGATATATTGTGAACCTTGACCTATATTGTTTTTTCCACTAACTTTATTTATGTAAGATAAGATAGTACTTTATTGATTCCCATGTGGTGGGGATTCGAGTATTACAGCAGTCCATGTACGGAATAAATACAGGTAAAAAAAGAATAGAATAATACAACAATTAGACAGAAAAACAATGACAGAAAATGAATGTAGTCCATAGGAGGAAGCATAGTAGCCATATAGCAGCCGAGGGCCTGACTAAAGCCCTGTGGCTCCCCCAACCAATCAGACTACAGCTCTGCCCTGACCAATCACATTGTGGGTTTTCCAGGCCTGTCTGGGCCCATTTGAACTGCTTATTGAAGAGTCAAGATCTGTCCGCTGACCGAGGTTTGTGGAATGCTGTGGACACTGGGCCAGCCAGTTCAGCAGACTCTAGATACACACACACACACACACACACACACACACACACAAAGATCATTCTTTCCGCTCTCTTCTTGATTCACATGTGTCAAATGTCACACAAAGGGTGGAACAGCGTGGAACAGCGCTGCGTGGATGGACGTGTTTTCCAAACCTGCTCACACGTTTGGTTATGAAAATATTTTTGGTTGCTAGGATTCCACTACAGATGGTCTGTGGCCCTGGTAGACAGATTACGGTTGATTGCCTTAACTCTGACGGACTCAGTGTGTTTGTGTGGCAGTGTGTGTTTGTTATCAACTCTGTGGATTTATCTGTGTGTGTGTTCTGGACTCAATGATTGCATCTCTGGTTTGTGGTTAGTCACCACTCATCTGTGCATCAGTGTGTGTTTGTGCACACTTTAATGGTCATTTGCTCACAGTTTATGTGCTGGTGAGCCCGTATATTTGTTTTTTGTTTTGATTTATAGTTATTTATAAAATAAATTCATTTAATTATATTTTTTAGTCATGAGGGTTTAGTAACATTTAGTAACTTAGTAACAATAGTTGCCAAATTTAGAAAAGAAAAATATACAGGCTGATATTTGGATAACTGAATTTTTTTTTACAAATATAAGCATTGGTCAGGCTCTAATATATAATATTATAGTGTGTGTGTTGTGTGTGTCTTTAATAGTACAATGTTCTCCACTGCTGACCTCTGTGTCTGATCCTGCTGTGGAGGCCTGCCCATTTCATTAGCATGTTGGAGCAGTGAGCCTGGCTTTAGAGGCAATATCCCTGTCAGCAGATTAATCTAATACCTCAACACACACCCACACAAACAGAAGTGTATATGCACACGTACACAAAGGAATGCACATAGAGACATAGATGCACTCCAGTGAAAAGAAACACCCCTAACACTCTTGAAATAATACAAACACTATTACAAATCCACACATTTGGCTTAAGTTAATTCTTTTTTTTCCATGCTACACTTATACACATATACAACTACACATCTAATATCTCGGCTCACCCACGACCTACTTTCACTAACCCCGCTTTGGTTTTTGGCAAGGACAGACGAGCTATGATTGAGGAGAGACACTGAGAGAGCAGCAGCGAGCCGAAGCAGAGTGCTAGCGGGTTCAGGTCCTTTTCACCTCGGTCAGTACCGGAGCAGGAATTCCTGCAGAACTGGATAAGCGTAGAACTTGAGGCTCAGCAGACTGACTGTCCAGATAACTGAACGTGAAGCTCTGATGTTGGGAAATGTGGGTGTTTTCTCCTCTTGGTGTGAAAGGATCTCAGAAGCTGTTGGCTTGTTTTGTTTTTTCATACAGAAATCACAATGATACCATGTCTTTGAGTCCATTCTTCTGATTTACTAGACATGAAGCAGCCAGTTTGGATTCACTAGACTGAAGCAACATTTCTTTTTGTGAGAAAGACGTTTGGTGGTGTAACATTTCTGCTCTTTACTGAAATGCTATTCCGATTGTTGTGCTTCAGCTTTGGGGAGGGAATCTGTCCGGAGTCAGCTCAGGATTTGTGTAAACGTATTCCTCTTGGATAGACAGAATGCCGGACACATGTGGCCCTGCAGGGATTTCTTTACAGCCTCTTAGAGGGAGGTAGATAAATATATAAAGGTTGTTTGAGGTCAGACTACAGGCTCCTCATGCTGCATGTTCATAGTTGAAGATAATAATGTTGAGTGTGCAGCATATCACTGGCATTTTCACCTCGGATCATCACATTCAAAGGGCCTGGTAACGAGAGTCATGCAGATTTTTTAATGCAGTGTCTTGATAGTTTCTACAGTAATTTAACTTTGAGAAATCCCAGATGAATGTAGAAATGCATACATATATATATATACACAGGTCTGTAATTTACTTTCAAATTCTTCACTATTTCCCAGGAAGTTTAATTCAAACAAATATTTACTGATGGAGTAATTATTATATGTGAAATTAGAATTGTTGCATTTATTTTTTCAAAACTTCAGATCTTTTACTGTTATAAAAGTAGTAAAACTTCAAGGTAGAAATACTCTCACTGATAAATGTCCTACATTAAAAAGGTTTCACTTAGAAAAAGTACATAAGTATAGGAAACATACACATGTCCACACTGAGAGTTTAATCTTTGAATCAGATCACAAACATACTGCTTCATTTAAAATTGTCTCAGGCCAAAAGGGAACCATTGCTCTAGGTTACACTAGCAATTAAGTGTAATATATTAACTTGAACTGGGCCAATAGGCTGTTTTTAATGGCTGACACCAAAAGGACATTTTTACACTTCCCAGAAAGAACACCACACGATATCAATAAAATGAATGTCTGAACTCTATTTTATCAGCTTCAGTCTCAGGGTCTTGATGTTCTGCATGCTGGTCGACTGTGTCCAACACAAGCACATTTGTTGTGTTACTTAGATGAAGCCTTTATTACTGTTATCATAGACAAGTTAATTCAGTTTGAATTAAAGTCACATACATGTGTGTCAGTACCAGCAGGAACAAAATCAAAAGTAGTTTAATGAGCAAATGCTGACATCTTCTCTCCCTCTGTCCTGGTTCAGCCTCCTGTGCTGCTGTTCCTGCAGTGACTCACCAGTTTCTTTACACAGACAGACATGGTCCCCCTGTTGGTTATTCATGGCACTGCATCACATGCCAAACAGTCAGAACGTGTGTGTGTGAATTTTCATGAGAAGCCTCACAGGCAGTGGTAGTCAGATGGGAAAATGTGAGCAGCAGTAGCCAATGAGTAAACGTCTCCGCCGCACTTGCTCGCAGCAGAAGCCGTGGTTGAGAGTGACCTCGAGCGAGTCACTTCACCTCAGACGCTCTGGTGAAATCAGAAACTGTTAATATGCTTGACGTGTGCAGTATCCGACTGCTGTGAAACAACATGCAGACTTATCCTCCTCCTCTGTCGTTGGTTTGACTCGGACGTCTGACTAACGGCACATTTTTCACAAGAGGTCAAGTATAAAATAAAACATTAATCCTAATCCCTGTGCTGTTTTAGGATGGGACAAGCACTCATACGGTTACCACGGAGATGACGGCCACTCCTTCTGCTCCTCCGGGACCGGCCAACCATACGGCCCGACATTCACCACGGGCGACGTGATTGGCTGCTGCGTTAACCTCATCAATAACACTTGCTTTTACACCAAAAATGGCATCAGTTTAGGTTGGTCAACCTGATGTGTATTCATATACGTCATACATTTAACTACATATGTTTTTTTAAGTTTTACTTTGTTGACTGAGCTTGGTGCTTTTCACATACATTTAACTTTAACTGTTTGTCCTTTCATTTTTTAGGTGTAGCCTTCACAGACCTCCCTGTAAGTATCCATAACTAAGTATTAATTACTGATTTCACTTCTGATTCAGCAACTGTCCATGAAAACGCAAAATCCATATCAGCCTTTTTATCCAATTGCACTTAATGCAATGTCAATCTGTCATAATTAGTCTGATACTGGACTATAAATACAAGAAATAATCTCTGGTGCAGCATTTTTCAATAATTTATAAAACAATGAAATTCTAAAAACAACATAAACGCTCACTGCTCTAACCTGAATTATTGTCTTGTCTTAATTATAACAGCCCAACCTGTACCCCACTGTGGGCCTCCAGACACCGGGTGAGATCGTAGACGCTAACTTTGGCCAGCAGCCGTTTGTGTTCGACATCGAGGACTACATGAGCGAATGGCGGGCCAAGATCCACGGCATGATCGCTCGCTTTCCCATAGGAGAGAGGCTGGGAGAGTGGCAGGCCGTCCTGCAGAAGTAAGACCCGCAACCACTTCCCACAACTTCCCAATCACACACACACACACACACACACACACACACACACACACACACACTGCTTTGAATGAAAATGATGTGAAAATGTCTTGTGGGTCAAACGTGTTTGATACAGTATGTAAGAAAGAGTTCGTTTTATAAAATTACACTTTTCATGATTTACATATAGAGACTGCAGGTTCATGTGGGAAAGTAATTGATATTGTACATGTGATAGCAGATCAGTTATTTGCATAATAATATTTTGATATGACTTGAAGTTTATGAGGGAAGGGACATGACCAGTATCAGAAATAACTCAAATCGAAGCAAAAGTAAAGCTTACATATATATATGTGCTACTACTAAACATGGACTAGATGGAAGGCAGTGTAGCACACCACAAATATATCATTGTGTTTTCTTTAGAGTAAAAGTTTGGATATCCTGACTTGTTGTCCCAGTTATTTGAGGTCAAGATCTGGAACACTGGGTCCCAAACAAACAAACATATCAAACTAAATACATTATAAAACTGTTAACATTAACTCAAATGGCCAAATGGGAAAGCCACAAAAAAACAAACATTTTTTTAACGTATTGTCCATAGTATGGTGTCCAGCTACCTGGTGCACCATGGGTACTGTGCCACCGCAACAGCCTTCGCCAGAGCCACAGAGACCATGATACAAGAGGACCAGACGTCTATAAAGAACAGACAGAGTGAGTGAACAAATCAAATGAACACAAATTAACTCACATCTTCACTTGATTTGTGGCAAATATCACAAACTCTGAAGTCATTGAACAGCATAAAGGAAAGTTCTGTGTTGTTGGTAACTAGCTAAAATGAAACCGCCTGGAATAATTCCAGCAATCTTTTGGTCAGTGGATAGATGGACTCCCTGCCGACTTTCAGTGGATGCTGTGGGAGTTGTTTGGCCCTTGTGACCTGTGGCCTCTTTGAATGACGCACTGGCCTCTTATCAAATGTGATCCATGACGAAAGCTTCCTTGTGATTAATATTCTATAAATAGCACCTTGTGTCTTTCGTCCTAAAGGAATACAAAAGCTGGTGCTTGCAGGACGCGTGGGTGAAGCCATAGAAGCTACTCAGCAACTTTATCCCGGCCTGTTAGAGCACAACCCCAACTTACTATTCATGTTGAAGTAAGTCAATGAGTTTTGTAGTTTTAGATCATGTATGTATCATATGTATGTATCATGTATCATATCACCTGTAAAACTATCGACTGATTCTCTATCTACACCTGTCTGTGTTTGCTCAGCGAGACACGTCTCATGTACTTGTAATTTCCGAGTAGTGACCAGTAACACAAGTGTGTTCTGCTCTGTAGGTGTCGTCAGTTTGTGGAGATGGTGAACGGTACAGACAGTGAGGTTCGCTGCTTGACCATTCGCTCCCCTAAGTCCCAGGACAGTTACCCCGGCTCACCCAGCCTCAGCCCCCGTCACGGAGCCAGCAACACACACCTGCACACTGGAGGTACACGTGCAACACAAAGTACAGATATATTGACAAAATACAGAAAAACATCCAAACAAGATCCGTGTTTTTGTTTTCTCTCCACTCGTCACCATCCTCCTCCGCCCAGGAGCGGACAGCCCTACCTGCAGTAACGGGGTGACTCCTCCCAGTAAGTCAAAGAGCCACGGTGGCGCAGGTAGCAGCAGTGTCAAATATCCCAGCGCGTCCTCTTCCGCATCCTCATCCACCTCCTCCTCCCCTTCCTCAGTCAACTACTCTGAGTCCAACTCCTCCGATTCCACCAAGCCACACAGCGCCAACAGCAACCAGGAAACCAGGTGAGACGTCCTTTCAGTCCCGAGCATAAAAGCTGAATTTTATTTTTCTGTAGTTTATATTGCATTTGCTCATATTTGACTATACAAAGACCAACATGTGTGTCCGTGTGTGTTTCTTTGTGTGTGTGTGTAGTGACAGTGAGATGGAAATAGAAGCAGAGCACTATACCAACGGGGTTGTTGAAGGCTCCTCTGCGCGGATCATGAATGGCACATACAAACATGAAGAGATCCTTCAGCCAGACGACAACAGCATCGGCAATGGGGTCACAGGTACACACACACACACACACAGACACACACACACACACACACAGACACACACAAACTTAACATAATCCTGTAACTTTTTTACTTTTGTCTTGTCGTCTGTTATTTATTCTTCCTTACTTTTTCTCTTATTGTATTTTCTATTTAAACGCATGTGTGTGTTTCTCTGTGTTTTTGTGTGTGTGTGTTCCTCTGTGTTTTTGTGTGTATGTGTGTGTGTTGCCAGCAGATGAGAGTTGTAGTAATGGCAAACAGCTTTGTGGAGGGAACCAGGCAGCCACAGAGAGGATGATCCAGTTTGGACGGGAACTGCAGGCACTCAACGAACAGCTGTGCCGCGAGTACGGCAAAAATGCCACGCACAAGAAGATGTTACAGGTACACACATATTGCACGCAGGCTTGACCTCGACAATCAGCTTTGCAACAACTACAAGAAGTGGAGCAATGTTTGATTCAAGTGATGTCCTGACTGTCGTACAAAGACAGTTTACAGGAAATTACTTTGCACTTCAGATTATGTCCTGATTCATAAGCAGCCAACTAATAGAAACGTTATGATAATGAACTTTGCTGTGGCTCAGGATGTACAGCAGCTTCATCCATCACCCAGAATGTCTGTGGCTTGATCCTCAGTTCCTACTGTCCTCATTCCAAAGTGTCCTTGGGCTAGATACTGAACCCCAAATTGCCCCTGACGGTTGTGCCGGCAGCTTGTGTGAACAGACAAAGTGCAGCACATAGTAAATGGCCACATTTCCAGAAAGTAATTTTTAACCACTAGGGGGCAGAAAGACTCCAAACCAAGTGCCTGAAACTGGCCTGATGTTCTGTACAGTCCTGTAGATTGAGTTTATTAAGCTGTCACCCAAGTAGTTTCAGGGCCAGTTGATGCATCTACTGCAAAAATGTATGTACCGTGGTGTTGTACTTATACTGCTCTCTGTCTGTGTAGGACGCGTTCAGTCTGTTAGCATACTCCGACCCGTGGAACTGCCCCGTTGGCCAGCAGTTAGATCCCACGCAGAGAGAAGCACTCTGCTCTGCACTCAACAGCGCCATACTGGGTAAAGAGCACACAGACACGTACTGTAATACACTGATGCATGTTTCTTCAAACTACACCTGTAGCTTTTTGTACTGCAGCACCACTGTAATGTAAATTGTATGTGGGAGAGCGAGACAGAGATGTTTTGTCTGCCTGTAGTTGCAGCCAGTGTCTCCTGACATATACGAATATTGGAGATTTTAAACAACATATAATCAACCTGTGTTTTTCTATCAGCACACATTAGAGCACTACAATGATTCTGCAGTGTTCTCATCTCTTTGATTGTTTTCATTCTCTTTAACAAATCTCCACATCGAGAACATTTCTAAAACGTTGTGAAACAGCTGTTTTGCTCCGGCCTGATTTTGTTCCTCCTGCTCTAGAGTCCCAAAACCTGCCTAAGCAGCCTCCGCTGATGTTAGCGCTGGGTCAGGCCACAGAGTGTGTTCAGCTCATGGCCCGAGTCCGGTCTGGTTCCTGCTCTTTCGCCAGAGTAGACAACTTTTTGCACTAGCCCCGGTCCAGGTGAGTGAATAATGGACTTAATCTGGACAAATCTTGTTTCTGATCAGCTGGTAGTAAAATGTATATGTATATAGTGTATATAGTTCGATATTCTCAAAGAAGGAAGTAAAAATACCAAAACATTACATCAATGCTACAAATGTAAGTGCAAGCTGTTACTGCTACACTCATTCATCACAGACCTTACCCATGTCTCCACAGGTTAATGTTAAGTAGCACTGAGAGAAGGCATGTCCAGCAGGTAGTTGTCATGGCGACGGAGGAAAGAGCATGCGTGTGATTGGTGTGTTTGGCTGTCCTTCAGACCGAATCAGCGGCGCAGACAGAGGAGCAGAGAAGAACGTGACAGAGAAGAAAGCTTCCTTTTAATTTAGTATTATCAAACAAAGAAATGTGTGACACTATTTAAAGATAATTAATTATTATTCTGTTTATCTAGCCTTTCTTTTTTTTAGTTCTTTTTTGTCAGTTTGTTGTGCTCATCCTGGACAAAAACTAAATTGTAAAACCCCCTTATTTTATTCTTCTGTTTTAAAGGGTGGACTTTGATTCCCTACAATCAGTATTTTACTCACGTTGTTGTTGTTCACCATATCACAGACCACAATACTCACAGCTGGTTACCACGGTGACCCTCACAACTGTAGGTCACCTTAACAAAACCTGAAGTATATTACGTCATCTTTAATAAAATATAAGAGCCAGACAGACTCTGCAGCGCAGCCTTTTATTCCCCTGAAATATCCACCTTGAGAAGTGCATTCATGTCTTAAAAAAGCCGGCTGAGCAAAAAAGTCCTCAGCATGAAAAACACCTCTGATTGTGTGGAGGTGGTCAAGGCTGATGCAGCAAAGTAGTAAACACTAACCGACAGAAAATGGACTGATGTCAGACAGAAGAGAGCAGCTAGTCGTTTTGATAATTTGGAAACACAGAATTTTAGTTTCGTTGCCAGAACCTGTTAAGAAGAAAATATCAGGTTAGTCGTCTCATCCTGAAACATAATTGAAGTGGCTTTGTTGCAAACTCTGCCAGTAACCAGGGGGAAAGGGTGACGACCAGTGATTAAATTGGATTATTCGAGGTGTCAAGGCCTTAGATTTTGCTGGAACTACCACAGCATCGACCACAGTGATGTGGCTGCAGTCTGCAGAGCTCGGCTCCGGCTGCACCCGCAACACCTGCTGTCGCCTAACGCTATTATCACGGTCACCTTGATGCCAGCATAAAGAAAATCACAATCAAAGACAGACTAACAAGCCCAGGTTGCGTATGGGTAGAATTCACCCAAGGGGTCTTTTTCTTTAATATCATCCCGTCTGACTCGCTCTGTGCATGTGCTGCTGCAATTAGAGCCTAACAAGAGATAAAATCATTGCAAAACAGGAGGCTTTTAATTTCAGACTGACTTTGTGAAAATGAAAGCACAGCCTTTGTTTTGTTTCAATCTCAAACCACGTATGCTAAGATGGATGACGCGTCTGCACTTCCTCTAGTATCCAGAAATGAAGCCAAAATATCTCTGCACCAGGACACAAAGGTATTCACCCACTCTACGCGACGATTGTCACAGGAAGCAAACGTACCGGGGTGACCGGGCTCTTAGCCAGCAGGGGGCAATCAAGACACTGTCACTTCATCCAACTCTATAAACAGTCTGTTTCCAACCACTCACACAGCCTCAGAACCAGACCTGTGTGTTTTAAAAAGTTCTCTTCTCGCACAGATAACTCCATTTCTCTAACAACCGTAAACCTAACTTGACTATGTCCTGTTGTCCTGTTAATTAGGACGTAGTCAAGTCTAATGTTATTTACAATGTGTAGCCTAAAACCACAAGATTGTCCCAGAATGTTTTTCACCCCTGTACGATAACGATAAGAAGGTTCGCTGCCGGCCACTATGAGATTTACAGAGAAGTCGTCACAGAGGTTTGAATTGTAGAGCCACTGTAACAAAACTACCAAATACCTAAACTATATAAAATACAGCTGAAGCCTCGTCTGTGAGCCACTCCTCACTGTCTTCAATATTAAATAGAGAAATAAATAAATTGAACCAATACATTATATTAATTTCACTTAGCCCCTTAACTTTGAACCTCCAGCTCCTCTCGTCTACACGACATCTCGTGAGTCTGGATTTGTCACCTGGCATCATAATGAAAAGCAAAGACTGTGAATAAAGATGGTTTCCACGTTTCCACTTCCTCCCAATGTACGAACATCTTGTGTCTCAAAAATTACAGAAACCATCTTGGTTTTTTTTTTAGTTTGGCCCATATCACATCTGTTAACATGGAGGAGGTGAAGTTTATTACCTTTACTGCAGTCAAGATATTTTGGCTTCACTTTTGGGGGGGGGGGGGCTCTCATGTCATCCATCTTTATTCACAGTCTATGATGAACAGCCAGTTTTTGTTTAAGAATTTATAATCAGATAAATCAATTATTTAAATGATCTTTTAAAATGATTGTGTATTAACTTCCCTCGGTCGTTGTATCTTTATAGATTGTGGTTCACGGTCAAATTACAACTCTGACTCCACTGCTCACCACCTCAATTCTTTAATTGGGTCTTGATATGAAAAGATTTATTTTATTTTAAACTTCCGTTAAACCCCTCAGATGTATCTGTCGTAAAACGTTTTTTTTTTTTTTTCCCATCTCATGTTTTACACAGAACTTCATTTTCTACCAAATAGCAATGACTGAATGTTGTCTGACTCGTGGCTCCAACCTGAGGTGTATATTTCCGTTCAAGAGAGATTTGAATTCTACGGCAAAGAAACGTGGATAAACACTGAAGTACAGTATGTTTGCAGTGTGAGGTTAACTACAGGTCAAACTGTTTCTTTAGTCACACCGTCTGCGATAATAGGAACTATTCTAACAAGTATACATAGAGTGCATACTTGACATCTGCTTCTACAGCTGTAAAGGACTTCTGTTACACACACACACACACACACACACAAACACACACAAACACACAAAAGAACAACCTCATACCTGTAGGGACCGAGTCTCCCAGCTGTCCTTTGTGTTTGAGCCTGAGCTGCGTCTCAGCGCTGTTACCACGCACCCTTCCTCTCCTCCCATTGACACTGACGTGATCAGTGATTGTTTTAAGGAATAGGAGGGATGTGAACAGTTTTTTGGAAACGGGCCCCTCGAGGCCTCCGAAGCCACGTGGACTTCTTCCCAAGAGGCCGCAGAAATGGATTTAGTCATTGCAGACAAGCTGTGCACAGTTGACTTCTATCATGATTTTAATTTCTTATTTTGACTTTTGAGTTTTAGAAAAGATAAAGAACAAAAAAAAAATAAACAATTGTGAGATGAGTTACCCTCTACTTAGCATGACTTTTAAAACCTTTAAAACAATATAAAAAAAAAAAGCAAAATGATAATTGAAAAAAATACCTATGTACTGGAAACATGTTAAAGAAGAAATATTGTATTCTGTTTAATTTTGACAGACTTATTTTTATTAAAATACACCCATAAGCATATGACTGATCTCCTGTTTTTATTTGGTGTGGTTTTTTTTATTTATTGTGGATAAGAGACGACAAACCTCTAATGGGCCAGTGCAGCATTGTTTAAATTAATTGCTGTTGTCAACCCACACAAAGCAGTGTCAGAGTCGCTCATGTAAAAATGTGGGAACATCAATAGTTCCTGAAGCTACAGCTGTTTGTTTTTTTTTCCTCTTGTTTTACTCTCGACTCTGAGACTTGAACTGCGGAGACGTCACAGCGTCGTTTCTGGGGTCAAGGCCACAATAGACCAGAGGCAGAAATAACATGAAACATAGAGAAATAGATTCAAATACTCTTCAACATCTTCGGGTGATAGTTGGTGATGGCAGGTGAGGCTTCTCAGCTGTCACCAGGTATAAAAAGATAAATAAAATATATTTTAGATACTTCATTCACCACTTTGTTTATATAAATTATTGGCCTATATAAACCACACAGTACTTCATGTTAAAATAAAAAGGTCAGCATGTCTTAAAGCAAGACCTTAGATTTACAGCAGTATAAAAACAACGCTGTGTTTGAGTGAGCAACAGTAATTCACTGAACTCTGGATGTGAGAGCTCATATTGTTTATTTCTCTGCATTTTAGATAAATTGAATATTCTCTTCTTGTTCTGAATCTGTGAATTGTCGCCTTCAGCTCAGATTCAAATGTAAGAGACGAAGGGGTGACACAGTATTACCAGGTCGAATTATATTATTTGATGTTTGTCCCTTAACAATCAAACAATGAACGATATTCATCATGAAAAAACTTAAAAGCAGTTTGTTCAACGGAAACACATTCATGTTGCACTCGTCTGTGTTTAGGGTTTGTACAGCAGAGGGCGTAAGAAGGTTGGAGAATCCTAACACATGTATTTATCTTCATGTTACCTCTACATCATATCTCTTCCTCTTGTCATATCTGAGTTTACACCAAAGCTGTACTCCACAGATAAGAGATGTCCCCATTAAATGCCTCTAACTTCACATTCTCACCATTTTGCATCTCCTCAGACGTGAACACTGTGTGTTTATGTTAAACAGAGTGGTTTCCCTGTTTAAAGTAAAAGCTAGTGGAAATGAAATGTGTGAAAATGTTGGAAAACAAATGACCCAAACTGCAAAATTGCCAAGACGGCAAAAATATATTAACACGTGGGATGAAAACAGTTTAAAGTGAGATAATATATCTGTTGATGCAGGTGTGTGTATAAGTGTGTGTGAGCCAGAGAGAGAGAGAGCGTTCACTAATCTGAAGAGTGCACAAAGAATTAGTTTTATTTCTGTACGTTTGTTTCTTCACCTCATGACCCGTTTGAGTTTATTTCACCGAATTCTGTTTTATCGTGTTAATGATTAAGTTAGTTTTTATCTAATCCTTAATTTCATTATCCACATGGTGATGTTTTATTTTGAAAGCTGTCTGTATTCCCCCACACGTGCCAAAATCCCTTTCAGTTTGTGACGCACATTTCGAACAGAGATCGTCTCCGTGTGCTTCACAGTAAAACAGAAATATTAACCACACGAGGTAGATAATACACATAGATGATCCACACCACTGAAATAACCTCATGCATGAAATACAACATCCTCACTGAGGCGATAAGGTGAATGTTATTTATAGAGCAATTTAATTTGAGGAAGCTCAATGAGCTGTCGTTCATCAAATCTGTGGCTTGTTTCTCAGATGGACACGATGGACACGATGGATTTAAAAACACAGATTTAGACGCTTCTAACTGGCGAGAACTGATCTTGTCTGGACCTCAGGCTGTTTGTGGCCGAGGCCCCCCGGCGTGAAGAGGAGCGAGTGTGTGTACTCGACGGTGGAGAGAGACACAAGCGTCCAAAATTTAGTGAAATTGAATAGAAACGCTCAAACAAGTGTTCAGATCACTGTGGTGCGCTGAAGCTCTCTGACCCCCCAAGTTGGAATGAAACTGAACAGCATCAGGACGTGAAGAGGTTTGAATGTTACAACCCTGAATAAAAAGCAGAGACTGGATGCTGAGGAGACACAAACGCTCAGAGTGACTGTGAGGCCTCAGACCTTTATGAGCTGAGCCTGTAATTATACACGAGGTGAGAGCGGTGGGCCGCCTCCGCCTCCGTCCGCAGCCAATGGATCTCCAGCATGGCGCGTTACGCCCTCGGGGCCCCGCAGACGTCCTCGCGGC